TCTTTTCCAAATCCCATTTTAGTTTATCCTTTTTTAAAGTGACCTATTTGGAGAGCAATTGAAATATTAACTTTGCAACAAGAGGCCAAATTCAGTGAGGCCTGTATAAAGTAAAAAAAAAAAAAAAAAAAATCAGTCTGGGTTTTTGATATATGTAACGGTATCATTTGCAAATAAATCTGTTTTTTGTGCTATGCTCTTAATGTTTTTGTTTTGTCTGATTTCTTGTGGCAAAAGTTCAATGAACAAGACAAAATAGGGTTGCTAGGGCAGGATCCTTGCCTAATGGCCCTACAGCGTATAAAAATATCTGAAAAGGAGCAATTGATAGCAATAACTTCTGAATGTATGATAATTAATAAAGTTTTAACTTACTTCTTTCACTCTAAGACAACTTCTGCTGAAACTCAAACTGTGTTTATTAGTTTAGTGGTGCTTCTCAGATTTGTAACACGTGACTGCTTCACCTTAGTCTGTTTTCTCATTTTCCTTAATTTTTTAGATTTATTTTAGTCTGATCTCCCTCTAAAAGGGAAAGAAATTAGTAAAGTTATTTTTTACTTATTTTTGGAATAATCTATACTTTAAATCACGTAAAATAGCTCTTTTAGTGATAAATAGGAGAGTCAAAGAAAAAAAAAACATTATTTTAAAGACCTTTTATCAGTCACTTTATTAATCCGGCGGAAATTTAGTAAAAGCATCATTTTGTTAGTAATTAAAAATATAAACATTGTTATTACAAGCTTTTTGAGAGGCACTCTCTGAAGTTGGCCCTGAAATATTTAGCACTCTTTTCCCTTAAAGATCATTGGATAAGCTGTAGCACATCACTGTGTTACAGTTATAACTTCAACTAGTCAGTAAAAAAAGAAAACATTTGAATTTACTTAATTTTTTTTATTCTTGTAAACAGTTAATATATTGCTGAAACAATTTTCCTTTTATATTTCTCTAGAAGTGTCCAAAAAACAATACATTCAACTCAAAAGTTCTATTATTTTTTATCTCAGTTTGTCATCAGTTGAGAAACACTACATAAAAAACTTCACAGAATATCTAAAGCTCTAATTTTTATTTGTATTTTTTTCAGAGTAAACAGTGAGTCAAGTTAATTTCCTAGAGATGAACACTGACTGCAAATCTTTGCAATAAATGTGATGATTTACAAGATAAGCGCTTCCTTTTTGTGTCTTCCTCACAATGAGACGGAGGCTCTGCAATATAAGTCATGCGGCTTTGCCCACACACATTTCAGATATGACTGCTGAAAAGCTTGCTCTGTAAGCACTCGAGCTAAGAGACAGTAACATCAATAAAAGTCTTCAAACACAACGTACCAGCAGCGGAGACAGCTCAGGCTATAAAAAGCAAACACAGCTAAAATTAGAATGAGTCATATGTTCCTCTGCTGTCTTGTTTGAAGTGATAAAGCTCAGTTTTACTCCGTGTGGTGTAATATCATTACTGAGAGCTTAGCCTCCGAGAAAAAGATATGAAGAAACATCTGAACAAACAGTTTGTATATATTTGCTATTTTCATCACAGATCCTGGTGCCATCATGCATTTTGATTACTGAAGTGTATGGCAAATATAATAAGTTGTGATCAGCAGTTTTATTGATATTAAATATACAATAAGGGCTTTAAACATCGTACCGATTCAAGCAGTGGCTTATTAAAGCTAAACATTCATATCTGCTTTATGCAGGCTGTAATTAGATCTAGATATCCTGCTATAATCAGAAGAAGCGCTTATTAAGAGATGATTGAAGCTGAATGAGTAATCACCACTTTACAATGATTACTTTGATTCCTTTCAATATAAGAGTCATGGAAATGTTATGATTAGCTGCTTCAGTCTTAATTAGATGGTTAAGTGTCCAAGAGACACATGACCTGTTTTTAAACAGTGTAACGTTCAACAATAAGTATATATGTTTTTATACTAAATCAGATTAATCATACTTGAAATTATTTTAATGCAATTTTTAGTTAAGAATAGTGGTTAAAGATGCTGTTTCCTCAGTGTGCATACTCTTCTAATAACCACTGGGGTGCAGTGCTTACTTAGTGCAAGAAACGGGGTTGCTTTTAAAGATGGCTTCTTTTTCACAGTTCTGCATACTTTTTTTTTTAAACCTTTCAAAAATTCAAGTTAAAAGCCTTTTCTTTTAGCCAAGCAACCCATCAAATGACGTCAAAGAGCGAAGGGGACCGAAGAGGTCTGAATCACCCACTAAAGATTCAACACATGGCCCCCATGATGTTTGCGCAGAGGAAAGGCACATCTGAATTCTAATGAACAGAGTAGACACAGGAAAAAACTAAGTTTTAATTGGGAGTTTAGTCTTAAAGAAGTTCATTCTTCTGCCAAAGAACCACTTCAGGAAAATAGACTTATTTGCAATTGTTCTGAAATCTTCTCAAATTGTTATATTTTAAAAGTTATATTGCAATTCAGAACATATCTTAGATCATCCTTCTTACTCAAATCGTATAGATTAATTAGATTGTTTAGTTACCGGGTTGAGAGTTGGCTTTTGAACCTACAGTATTTCACACATTTTCATGGGGGCTAAATGGTTGTTGGTGCGTTGTTCTGACAAGCTTAATATCAACCTACATTGGCCATTATATTTAAAAATCAATTCTAATGACTTATTATGCCCTGGTTAAACTGAATTAGTGAGGTGCAGTGAGGTATGTACCGGTAATGGTTAGGTTTAGTGTTATTGTCAGGGTTAGGGCATAGAATGAGCTGAGAATGACTGAAAATCAATGGCAGTCATTGGGAGTCAACACATGGTTCTCACCATATATAGCAAGATGAGAGTGAGTGAGCCTGTATGTATAATTATGCTTGTGAGTAGAATAGAGCAAATGGATCAATAAATGAAATGTTATGTAACTAGTTATTAAGATTGATTGCAGAAGTATGTTGTTCAGTTATTCCATTAAGAGAAAAAAAAGAAGCAACAAATATAAACAATTTAAAGCTTAAAATCTATGTGATATTTATGTCCATGATCAGTATACCTACCATTCACATTAGCTGCTTAAACACCTAAAACCTGACAACTTACTTTAGTTTACTTACAGTAATAATCACATTCTTGTGTTACATGTTTCTTATTAAACTGTTATCTTCAAAATGTGAACAATAGGACTCCTAATATGTTATAAAATTGCATATTAATCGTATCCGACGTAATCTCTATGATGATGAGTCAGAACTGCTTTAAATATACATTTCTGTGTAGAATCCTTTACTTTTCAAAGTTTATGAGAGCACATAGCTGTGACTGAAATTGTTTCTCAAATTTAAATTCTCTCTCCTATAACCCCCATCCCAAAAATTAATTCTCACCTTAATACTAAACCTAACACCAAACCGTAACAGTATTGCTACCCATAGGTACAAATATTTGCCTTAGAATAAAATAGAAAATCCCTTTATTGTCCCAAAATGGGGAAATTGTAGTAAGTGGCCTCTCTGTGTGCATGATTGTGTGTCTCCATACTGTCCTGTGATAGACTGGCAACCTCTCCATGAGATAGGCAGCGACGCCACCCCCCTCCTCCCCCGTGATCCGGACAAAGATTAAGCGGTAGAAGAAGGATGGATGGATATATATGTTTGACAAAAGACACAATTATGTGTCTGTGCCCAGTCAAGTGACCTGTGTTCTGTGTTCTGTTTGTTTTTCTGATGGACTGGCCAACAGGTTGTACACTACCTCTCACCTAATAACCACAGGAGATTATTCTCCTCAAACCCTGTATGAATAGTTGGGTATGAATAATAGATTGATGCACAGTGCTTTGTGATGCATCATGAATATTTCCGTGAATTAAAAGATATGAGACATAAGTTATATATCAAAGTCACCTCATGACTTAAGTTATTGGTTTACTGTAGTATCCGAGCATTTCTACAAAATCAATTACCCCAGGTGTAACCACATAGCAAATAGTGACTCAATAACCAAAATAGTTGGTCTTGTCCATCGTAAGTAATGATTTTAACACACCTTTTTATTTTTTAGTACAATGTCTGTAGTGGCTCTAAAACCACAATTTTGGGAGTCAATGGTTTCAGAAAACATCCTGCTATTAAATCCTACTAATATTGTTCAGCATTCAACAGCTCCCAACAAATGTGATACAATTAATTCTTAATATAATAGTGGCACAAGCTAATATTGTTGTTCTTGTATTAAATGCAAAAAATCTCTGAAATACCCTAATGTGTCATAACCAAGGGGAGGCAAGCAGGCTTTATAGATTGAATAAAAAATAAGGAACTCATAAAAACATATGAAGAAGAAATGCTAGTGCTACTAATGAAAATAGTAAATTTATAATATTATGTCCCGCACAAAAAATACTCAATAATCCTTAATTAGATCATCTGTCTCAGCTGCAAGTCAGTTTTGCTGGTGCCACAAAACGGAAAAAAATGTTTCTGTATATGCAGCTACATCATGATAACTTGAATGATTTATAAGCAGAATGATTGTTATATAGCTTCTGAACAATTTGCTTCAGTATAACGTTTTGTGAAACTTAACAGCTCAAATGTACACATGCAAAAAATATAACTAAAAACAGGGTGATGATAAAATAACTTTTACCCCATACATAGGGGTATTTGTTGCTTTTTCTACTCATTTCAGCACTCCAAGCTCTGAACAGCTCCCGTCCTGCCTACAGCAGCCTCCAAGGCCCATCACATGATCTTATTTATAGCGTGACGTCAGCTGTTGACATTAATTCACAGTTTAATCAATGATGATGTTTGAATTGAAGAGCCGTTTTTTTCTCCTTTCTTTTCTTTTTTTTATGAGCTGGCTCTGGATCTTTCATTGACGCGGAAAACGTCTCATATGGGACAGAGGTAAGGAGGGGTGAGGGCGGCAGGGCTGATGACGCAGCCGCCCACCCCCACACCCCACCTCCAACTCTAACTCCCACCCCTTTCCCCTACAAGATAAGTGTCAAAAGACGAGCCTTGCGAATCCATGGATTAAAAAACCAAAAGGGGACTTAACTTCACACAACTCTGAAAAGTTTTCCCAGAGATAGCAGCTGCTGCTGTGGTGATTTTCGTCCCGTTCATGAGCTGCTAAAAATAAAAGTCCCTGAGAGCTGAGCTGAGGGCGCACGGTCTGCGGCACAATCCCAACAAGGACGCAAAGGAAAGCCTTCACACAGAAAGATAGAGAGAGGTAACGGAGAGTGAGAGAGACTGAGATAGAGATCCTATCTCACTCTCCCAGTTGAGGTCCTCGGAAGATCGTGCGCATCGTCTCGAAACTGGTAAGAAAGGTGTTTTTACGCTGCGTAAAAGTTAAAAGATTTTGGTAAAAAAAAAAAGGTCTTCCCTTTTATCTATTCTTTTTATCTTAGAAAGTTATGTGTTATAAATACAATTTTAACTCAAACGCATCAAATTATATTCTAATAGCATTCACCTTTACAAAAAGAAGCCCTGTTATGTAGATTTTTATATTTGCTTGTTTTTATTTTTTTTCCACAGCAGGACAATGTCTAAAGCAACTTTAGCACTGCTCATCTATGGAATCATAATGCATCACAGCATCAATTGCTCACCCGTAGGAATAAGCTTTCCAAGTATAAGGTAAGTGTCTATTTTTGTACTTTTTATAGCTAGAATTGATAAGAATCCATTTACTGTATAAATGGAGGAGATAACCAGAAGCTATGTTTGTGAGTGTTACAGCTTATTACAGGATAATATCACCTGACAGAAAATCTATAGGGCAGAGATGCATTTACCAGGGAGTGGAGGTAATGTAATTGAAGCTGCTGCCGCACAGCCTCAGGCTGACCTGGCAATTAATCGATCAATCTATCAGGTGGAATAATTAATAGAAATTAAGCTGGAGAAAAATGGATCCCAGTAAACAGATATGATAAATTATTTTCTCTTCTCTTTTCTAAGGTAAACTTTAAAAAAAAAAAAAACTTATTTTGTTCAGCTTCTATTTTTTTCCCCTTCTTAAAACACGAAATTTAGACTTGAAAGAGAGGTTTATGATGAGGGCGGCAACTCCTTACCATCCCTGGATTATGATGGAGATCAGTTGGAGGTGAGAAGCCCCTCTTCTGTCGCAGATGACGTCTTCGCCATGTTCTACCCATCAGAAAAAAGGTAATGTTTTAACAAAACTAGTGAAACCTACTCCTCCATTGCTGTATGACACATCTGTATGTCTTTTCTGTATTTCTGTTAATGTACATGTTCCGCGTGAATCTATGTATTGTCAAAATGTTTCCTCCTTTTTTCAGTTCCCCTTAAGATGTACTAAATAGGTTTTATATATATATATATATACAGAGAGAAAAAGAGAGAGAGAGAGATAAAATCCATCCATCCATCCATCCATCCATCCATCCATCCATCCATCCATCCATCCATCCATCCATCCATCCATCCATCCATCCATCCATCCATCC